ACGTGTACAACAACCTCCTGCTGGTCCCTCTCCCCTTTGAGAATATTCTGCACCATCTCCGAGATATCCCTGATCCTGGATCCAGGGAGGCAACACACCATTCTGATGTCTCACTGTCAGCCACAGAAACATTCGTCTGTGCCGCCGACTGGAGAGACACCTTTCACAATCGTTTGCTTGGACCCTGGCCTACCCCTCGGCACATTAGAGCCAGCCTCAGTACCAGAAACCTGGCTGTCAGTTCTACATTCCCCTGAGAGTCTATCACCTTCTACATTTTCCAAAACAACATGCTTGTTTGGGATGGGAATAGCCAAAGGAGACTGTTGCACTGCTTGCCCCCCTTTCCTACCTTTTTTGGAGGTTATCCATCTACCTGACAATATCTTCAGTTTATCTCCCTTCCCGTAATTGCCATCCATCATACTCCCTAGGTCCTGTAAATTCCTCACTGCCTCTAACTGCCGCTCTTGCCAATCCATGCAATCCTGTTGGATCCCAGTATCATGGATGTGGGGTGTGTGTGTGTGTGACCAGTCCTCGTGGAGCTTGCCCTGAGAGGTTAGTGTTCAATATCTAACTTGGATGTCCTTTGGAGTAAGTGGTGAGCTGAAGTTGCCAGGTTCCCACTCTGGTTTAAAACCTGAAGTTGCTGGAAAAGCTCAGCGGGTCTGGCAGCATCTGTGAAGAAAATATCAGAGTTAACGTTTCGGGTCCAGTGACCCCTCCTCTGGTTTCCTTGTCATGAATTCTCAACATCTAGCTGTTTGGTGCATTTGGTGAAATTGGAAGCTGAATATTAAGGAGGTGATTTATGCCATAACAAGGCATTTAACAATCTGTCTTAAATGAGAAACTCCTGTCATCTCTTTGCAAAAGTGTGACAGATGTTTTGACATCGCGTTGGGTCTCACTGGACTCTTTTCCGATTCTGCCACAAATCTCACCACAGCCCATGTTGCTCAGACTCCTGTGGTTTCTGGCCATACTGTCTGTTGGGTAGGCCAGAAATTAGCCCCATAACCTTAAAATTATAGCTATGTTGTGTAGGAGTGACATCAAAAAACTTTAACTTCCAGTAAAGGCTAATGAAATTATGGACTTAGATTGACCGAAGGAATCCTGGGGCAATTAAAATTTTGAAGAATCAGTTGAAAAGATTTTTATTAGATAAATGTAAAGGTTGGAGATTGAAGGTGGGATAGAGATTAGCCATGATGGGACTGACTCCTGTGCCTCTGTACTCAATTGATTTTGGGTACCATTTTATAAGGCTGACCAAACACTTGCTTATCTGTGTGTTTCCATAGCTAGATTTTCCTGGATCAGCCATTAGCTTGTCTCCAGAGGTTTTAGTTCAAGGGTCAATCATGGCTGACTAGAAAGATCTTCCATTCTTATGGCCTGTCAAAGGCATATTGAACAGAATTACAGGTTGATAATCCATTTGTTTGCTCACATTGTGAACACCTCCCATGGCCATCAGTTCCTGGAATGGGAATCAAACCCAAAGCCTTGAGCTCTGAGGCAGAGACATGGCCCCCTGCACCCCAAGACCACCCTTCAGGATAAGTGGGAGTGAAAATACGGGGGTGGAGAAATATTTCCAGCAGACTGTTAACAAAAGTGGCAAGCAAGAAAAACAACAGTTGAAAATGTAAAGGGTAAATACCACATGTGTGCATGACTGTTTAAACCACATTGCTCCATTATTGGCTGAAGACCCACACTGCCTCGAGTTTCTGTGAGGGAGTCTGATCTTTATCATCTGAATGCTTTTATTATCATCTCATAAAGTGTGAATGAACGTCAGACACTTGTCACCACAAGTGCATCCTTTGCAAAGCATTTCAGACACTGCTGCACTGATAGAATTGTGACTCACCATTTTGTCAGAAAAATGTGATCTAACAGCAGGCAGATTTATATAAAACCTTTTACACAAAAATCCCATAAGCTTTATCAAACAAAATTGGACATCAAACCACATAAGCAGATGTTAGTGTGGAGGACCTTGGTCAAAGAGGTAGATGTTAAGGGGCACATTAAAGGAGAAACCTTGAGGAATGATGAGGAATGACCTCCAGAGTTTAGGGCCTTGGTAGCTATAGATATTACCACAAATGACCTTTCTTTAAAAAGCCCAGTATTGGTGGTGCTGGTACCTCAGAGACCTGTTAGCATGGAAGAGATTACAAAGATAGTGAGGGGTGAATTGTACTTTACACTGTGTCCAGACATCAAAGTGTCCAATTCATATGGAGACTGCATGTAAAACCTGCAGTGGCAGAAAGGGAAATGCCTACCAGAAGCAGGACCAACGTAATCTGCTTCTTTTTAAAAATTGTTTCTGGCAGCATGGACATTGCTAAAAAGTATTTAGTGACTATCTGCGGTTGCCCTGAAGAGTAATTATTGGCTTTCTTCTTGAAGTATTGCATGGAGATTTTGATAAACCTAAGCTGTGCTAAACCTATGAGTCAATACCATATTGTGTGTTTACAGTCACAATTGGCCAGACAAGCAAGTACAGCAGCTTTCCTTCCCTAAAGAGTATGGTAAACCAAAATCAAACATTCCATAACTTCATGGTCACATTACAATTTTTTCTTATCTCCAGATGTTTAGAACTGAATTCAAGTTGTCAAGTCAGAATTGTGGATTTATGACCATATTAATTAGGAGCAGAGTGCCCCTCAGGACTGCTCCACCATTCAATAAGATCATAGCTGTTTGTGTTTCCAATTCCACATTTCCATGTACCCCTGAGAACCTGTAATTCTCTTGCCTAACAAGAAACTATCCATTGCAGCTCTATTCAGTTTCCCTGGTGATTGTAATTTCACCAAGTTCCTCTCATCTTGCCACTTTCTGATGCTCTGTGATGAAGAGAGAAGCAAAATTTTTGTTCACTTCATCTGCTATTTCTTTATTATGAAGTACTGACTCCTGTTCCCACCCTTTAAAGGACCTATACCCAAGGTATTTACTCTTTTCCTTTTTAGATACTCTTGCAGTCCATTTTTACATTCCTCTCTAGCTTCCTCTCATACTCTATTTTCTTTCTCCTGATTAAACTTTTCATTATGCTCTGTTGTTTTTGCTATGCTGACCAATCATCTGAACTGATATCTATGGAATAACCCATGCAATAGAAATGATTGTATGCTTTTTTCCTTAAGTCTTACTGTGTTCCTTAACTCTTTTGCTTACCACAGAGGGTAGGTCCTCTCTGAATTTTTATTCTATTTGGAATATTCTGAGTTTTCTGAAATATCCCTTAAATGCCTGTGACTGCTTCTCTAATGATCTATCCTCTCACCTAGTATCTCGGTTCATTTCAACTAGCTCAGCTTTGAAGCCCACATAGTTGCTGTTATTTAAGTCTAACATGTAGTCTTAGACCCACTCTTCTTCCTTTAAACTGGATGCAAAATTCAATCACATTGTGGTTGTTGCTACTTAGGAGTGCCATTACTCTGAGAGCATGAGGTAATCCTATCATATTGCACGATGCCAAAACTGTTATAACCTGCTCTCTGGCTGGTTCCATTACGTTCTGCCTTAAAAGAAAAACTACCTTGAAAGCATTCTTTCAACCCTCTATCCTGCTGCTAATCCAATCTGACTTTTCCAGTTTATGTATAGATTAAAATCACCTATAATCATTGCCATCCCTTTGTCACAAGAATTCAATATTTCTTCTTGGAAAGTTTGTCCTATATTGTGGTTACTGTTAGGGGGCTTGTGAACACTCCAACCAATGACTTCTGTCCCCTGCTACTTCTCATCTCCACCCAACCACATCGTACACCCTGATCTCCTGGACCAAGGAGAATTCTACCTTTCACACCAATGCCTTCTTTGATGAACAGTGCTACTACTCCACCTTTACCTAGCTTCCTATTCTTCTGGAATGTCATAGCTGCCCATTCAGGGTCAAATCCTTGTCATCATGCAGCTACATTTCTGTCACGGTTATCTGTTCATATTAATTTACTTCAACCTGTGGAAGCAATTTGCTTTTGTTAAGATTGCTTTACACATTCAAATTCAGCCTTTCGTTTTGTCTTTTTCTAATCTTTGTAGTATTTAGCCTTGACTGTTGGTGTACTCTTAGGTTTTCTTCACCTACCCTTCCTGCTATTCCCTAAACTTCATTTCCCATATTACTACATTGCCTTCCTGCCTCCACTCTATCCTTTATTTGTCACATCTGCCTACACTTGTTTCCTCAACATCCTTGTTTAGTGCCTTTTCTACTTTCTTAGTGATGTGCCTAACTAGAACACCAATCCCAACATTGTGCAAACTGCGGAGGGCATGCCCTTGTGGTACTATCACTAGATTGTTAATCCAGAGACCTGGGTAATGCACTGGGGACACAAACTGAAATTGCTGGAGGAGCTCAGCTGCTCTGGCATTAACTGTGGCAGAGTTAATATTTCAGTTCCAGTGAACTTTCAGAGCTACTGAGTTTCTGTTTTTGTTTCAGTTTTCCATAATCTGCAGTCCATTGTTTTATTTTAATGTACAGGGGGACCTGGGCTCGAATCCCACCATGGCAGATGATGGAATCTGAACTCAATAAAAATCTGGAATTAAGAATTGATGACTATGATTGTCATTTGGTTCACTTATGTCCTTTAGAGGGAAGAAACTGCTGCATTTCCCTGGTCTGGCCTGCATGTGACTCCAGATCCGCTACAATGTGGTTGATTCTTAACTGCCCTCTGGAGAATTAGGGTTGGCCTGCCTAGTGACACCTACATCCCGTGAATTAATTTTAAAAAACTGTACCAATGGTACAGATCCTAGTACTGGTGAAAATGCCCCAACAATTTGAACTCATTTCTCCCTTACCAGTCTTTGAGCCAGGTATTCATTTTTACTAACCTTATGTATAATCTGCACATGTCTCAGCTAATAATCCTTTGAGGCTCCACTCTTCAATTTGGTGCATAGTTTCTGATACTCCCTCAATAGAACCTCTTTCTTACCTCCACCTATTTCATTGATACTGACATGGATCACGATAACTGGATTCTCTCCTTCCCGCTGCAAGTTCACCTTCAGACCAAAGGAGATATCTGAACCCAGGTACCAGGCAGACAACATAACCACCCAGACTCTCAGTCTTTGCTGCGGGGAACAATGTCTATCCCCCTCACTACAGGGTTCTACGCCCCTACATTCTTTTTCACTTGCCCTGTGTAAATGGCTCACTGTACAATGGTACCATAGTCAGTTAGCTCATCCACCCTCCTGCTCTCACTCCATCCAGACAAGCTGAAAGAACCTCAACCTTGGTGGATAATCTCAAAGTCTGAGGCTCCTGTACTCCTTCCCTTTGACTCCTCTTACCTTCTTCACTCACAGCCACACTGTGACCACTGACCAAATCAAATGATTTATTTTGAGGGGTGTGACTGCCTTTTGAAATGAAGTGTCTAGAAACTTTACCCCCGCCCCGATACGTCATAGTGTCCGCAGCTCGGATTTGAGCCTGCACTGATTCTCGACTAAAGGTCCTATAGCTGTAGGCGCTTATGACCAATGTGTTTGCCAGCATCCAGAAATGTTCATATCCTGCAGTCACAGCACATCACCTGCCTTGCCATCCTTTATGGTGTGTTAAATCATTAAAAATTTTAAGCTAATTTATAATTAATAAATTCTCCACCTCCTAAGTCAGATTAGTATAGCCAGTATATCTTTGCAATATTAATCTTCTTCTTTGGCAGTCCCTCAAGTTGGATGATGACCTGATCCCACTCCAGGTAGAGGGGGCCAGGATGGGGTGGGATTTGGATTCTGTTGTGACTAAATAGTTCGGTCTCAGAAACGCAGACTCTGCTACAACAGGTGTAGGGCGATGTTTGAGGTGTGTGGATAGGACAGTCTAGATTTTGCCTGCTCTGTCCACTTCTTGCACTTGGCCTCCACATGTTCCACCTCATGATGCTCAAAGTGGTTGATGTCTTGACGGATGCTCCTTCTCCAGTTTGTGTGTTTTAGAGCAAGCAATTCCTGTGTGTCAGTAGGGATGTTGCATTTGCTTAGGAAGACTCTCAGGGTGTCCTTGTAATGTTTCGTCTGTCCTCCTAGTGATCACTTACCATTGCCAAACTCAGAGTTGTGCATTTATTTAGGGAGTCCTGTGTTAAGCATGTGAACAATGTCTCCTGCCCATCGCAGTTAGTCGTGCTTGTCCAGTGTCTTAATATTGAGGACATTGGCCTGGGAGAGGACCCTCACATTGGTATGTCTATCCTGCCAATGGATTTGCAGGATTTTGTGAAGGCAGCACTGGTGATAACTGTTCAGGGAATAAAGAGCTTACATTCACTAATAGTAGGTGGTTATGTGCTATTAAAAAATGATCTTTTTTCAAAGCAGAAATACAAACACAGTCCCTAACATGAAACAATAAACCCACAACTTTCCTGAGATGTCACTGTGTTTTTTCCCCAATCAGGTGTTCACCAGAAGCTGCAGCTTTAAACTCAGGACCCTAGACCTGGGCCTCAATTTACTGTCTGCTTCATTCCTTTCTTGCAGCTGTATTGAAGCTAAGGTGCTTCAGTTTGAATGAGCATCCTCTGGGTTACTCATCCAGGTCTCTAGATTATTATCCAGTGACATAACCATTGCCCTTCTTCTCCAATACCCCAATACTTCACTTCCATGACCTGTTCTGTGATTTCGGAAAGATGCATGCCTGTTATTGATCCTCATTTGCTACCTGGCACATTCCAGCAGCTCACTGTCAAATAATCAATCAAACGGCCTGACTTAAAACTCAACTTAGCTCATCCAAAACTTGAGTTGTGATTGTCTCGCCTCATGTGGCTGAACAGCTAAGGCTGACTGGCAATAAAAAGCCCACATTGACTTGATTGTTTGGCATTTGACAGAGGCTGCCAACTTCTGGTAACAGCCACATGCCACTTTCAAGGTAACTGTGAGGTTCACAGATGGTGGCATGAAGCAGATGGGTAAAGTCAGAGAAGCAGATGGCAGTCGTAGTGGAGCTCATTTCATGGTCACTTGGTAGGATTTCCCCCTGTGTATTGTTTATATAGAGAAGTACATCCTCATTATCTCCCCATTACAGAAGCTCTGTCCTGTGACTACTCCCATCTGCTCTGATCCCAGCTGTAGCTGTGGGGCCTCCTCATAAGTGTAGGTCAGCAGGCATACAGCTGTTCACAGTACTTGAGCAGAATTGGAAATAAGGCAAACAATAGTAAAGCCATAACGTAATAAAGCTAAATAGTAAATCGTATTCTGCAGGAATTTTTCTCAATTTTTAAAATGACTACTGTTCTGAGTGTTAGCTAATGAAATGGTTGTCCGCTGTTAGATATTGTCTTCCATAGGCTGATTGATCCTTTAACAATTTATTTTTAAAGAGTCCTTCAGAATCTTCAGATGTTTCAAAACAAGTTTATAGCCAATAAAGTACTTTAGAAGCCCAGCAAGGTCCCTCAAAGGGTAGCAAGATAAATGACCTTGATACCTTGTTGTGGTCATCAAAGGGATCTTTCAAATCCATCCGATGAAACTGAGTTTAACATCTCATCAGGGAGCTAGTGTAGAATCCCTCAACCCTTGTGGTTGAAGTGTCAGCTTAGATTACATGCTCAAGTCCTAGAGTGGGGCTGAAACCCATAATTTTCTCAGTTATATATGAGAGCACTACTGCTACTACGGAAGTATCACTCAAGCAAGATTCATACTCTCCAAAAATTCAAAATATTTGGTTAGAGATTGAGCGAGCTAAGCTAACAGCCATAAGAATAGAAACACTGAGAAATTGCAGGATGCATAACAGAGAACTGTTAAAACCAATAAACTCATTCCCTTTTTTGCTAGATCAACCCATGATTTCTTATCACGTTATTATCTAGCTAACTGCATGCATCCTCCCCTATCTGCCTGATGTACATACTGGCTTATCAACCACATTCTCACAAACCGTCTACCCATGTTGTACCCTACTGACTTATTCACAAGGCAGATGTCTGAGCCACATATTTCAACAACCATTCATACACCTTCTTTAACTCTCTTTGTGTTTTAATATGGATTTCAGTAAAGCCTTTGACAAAGTCCCTCATGGCAGACTGCTATAAAAGGTGAAGTCACATGGTATTTGGATGAGCTGGCAAGATGGATACAGAACTGGTTTAGTCATAGGAGACAGAGGATAGTGGTGGAAGGATGCTTTTCAGAATGGAGGGCTGTGACTAGTGGTGTTCCTCAGGCTGTTCGTGATCTACATAAATGATTTGGAGGAAAACGTGTCTAGTCTAAATAGTAAGTTTGCGGATAGTACAAAGATTGGTGGAGGTGCGGATAGGGAGGAGGATTATCAGAGATATAGATCAGTTGGAGGCATGGGCAGAAAAATGGAAGATGTAGTTTAATGCAGACAAATGTGAGGTGATGCATTTTGGAAGGTCAAATCCAGGTAGAAATTATACAGTGAATGGCAGAACCCTTAGGAGTATTGATATGCAGAGAGATCTGGGTGTGTAGGTCCCAGATCACTGAATGTGGCAGCACAGGTAGATAAGGTAATAAAAGGGCCTATGGCATGCTTGCCTTCATTGGAAAGGGCATCGTGTATAAGGATAAACAAGTCATACGGCAGCTTTATAGAACTTTAGTTAGGCGACACTTGGAATATTGCATACAGTTCTGGTCACCACTCCACCAGAAGGATGTGGATGCTTTGGACAGGATACAGGAAAGGTTTACCAGGATGTTGCCTGGTGTGGCAGATTTTAGCTATGAAAAAGGTTGGATAGATTGGGTTTGTTTTCACTGGAGCACAGGAGGTTGAGGGGCAACCTGGTAGAAGTTTATAAGATTGTCAATAGCATGGATAGAGTGGAAAATATGAGGTTTTTTTCCCAGGGTGGAAGGGTCAATTACTAGGAGACACAGGTACAGGATATGAGGGGAAGTTTAAAAAAGATTGTGAGGCACGTTTTTCACACAAAGGGTGGTGAGTGCCCAGAACACGTTGCCAGTGGAGGTGGTGGAAGCAGACACAGTAGCAGAATTCAAGAAACACTGGGACGAATACATGCATAGGAAGGGAATAGGTGGATACGGATCCTGTAAGAGAAGACAATTTGAGTACGGAAGGGCAAAATGTGTCGGTGCCAGCTTAGAGGGCTGAAGGGCCTGTTCCTGTGCTGTATTGTTCTTTGATCTTGGTTCTTGTTCTATAACCCAATCCAGGGAAATTCTCTTACAATAATATGTATATAATAAATTATTTTTGGGATTTTTCTCTGAGCACATTTACTGTAACTTTTGCCTAATTAACAATGGAGACTGTGGACCTAATTTTAACTGTAAATGGGTGGGTTTTTGAGTGAATTAAAATCTCATTCAATGTATTTCAAAAGCAATTTATTAGTTTTAAGAATGTGAATGGGTGCAAGATTCAAGGTTAATTTTCTTTTCACTATTTAGGGTTATTTATAGAATGCTATTGTGATTATTTTTCTCGATCAGTGCAATTTCATTGTATGATTGTATGCAATTGCCTTACTTGTGATACTGTCAACTGGCACCATCTACCACATGAATGTGAAACAGCATTACTGACAGGGTGCTTTTTGTCCTTAACTGTGTTCACTCTGATAGATCCTGAGGGTATTTGAATGACTATATACGTTCACCAGCACTTTAAACAGTTGAGTAATGGAGTTCTGTTCTCAACAACACTATGAGCAGATCAGTTTAAAAGATCAGTTGTAGTTAAGTTCAATGAATGGAACAATGTAAAAGTAACAACACCCTTTGTTGCACCAATATTCTGAGCATGCATATTTGGGAACGGAAATGGAACTATATGGTAATGTTCATTTGGCTCATATGCAATATTAACACTTACAGATCAATGATATAAAGATGAAAAGGTTAAAGAAAACTGCAGAACCTTTCCAGGACAGTGGTTAACATTAAGTTTGATAAAATCTGTGAGAGAGGATGCACATGGCATGTTGATAGAATGGGATTAAAGAGCTAACATCTTCTCTTCCTAATGGGTTGAGTAATGACTAGATGGTCCAAGGCACCACTGATATTGCTGTGAAACCACCAATACCCTAAACTGAAGCAAAATTTCGGCCAGTTTATTCCTCAGCACTCTCTGGATAATTGTCTGTCTCTACTCATGCAACCCTTTCTTATCCGTGCCTGTTAAATAACCCTATGAGATTAAAATTGAGAACTTAAATATGGCAGAAAAAAGAACCTCTACCAGTAAGAAGAGATAGCAAGAACTGCAGATGCTGGAGTCAGAGGCAACACAGTATGGAGCTGGAGGAACACAGCAGGCCAGGCAGCATCAAAGGAGCAGGAAAGATGACGGTTTGGGCTGGGAGCTGCCTTCAGAATTTCTGAAGAAGGGTTCCAACCTGAAGCATCAACTTTCCTGCTCCTCTGATGCTGCCTGGCCTGCTGTGTTCCTCCAGCTCCACACTGCGTTGTCTCTACCAGTAAGAATCCACTTACCAACCAAGCAGCACTCTCCTGTCATGCAGTATAAATGTTGTTCTCCGTTTACTTTGGTATTTCTTGTGAACTGTCCTGAGGAGAGTGCAAGACAGAAAGTTTCAACAAATGGTGCCTTTTTTCTGTAATGTGAAAGTTCCATACTACCAAATGGCTAATTGAGGATCAGCTACGATCCGATCAAATGGCACAGCACGTATGGGGGCCAATGGCTTAACCCTGCTCCTGGTTTGCATATTTGTACAACTGATTGGAAGATGGAGTGTGAGGCTTTTGGTGACTCTTCATGCCAGGTGCTGATTCTCAACTTTCAAACAGTCACTGTAAGAGGATGTGAAATTGTCGTTTTGCTCAGAAATCACCAAGTTGGTCACTGGGTGTTAACAGAACCCTGGTGGAATCTGTCTGAAGGACCTTCTTTTGAGGAATTACAGGAGATGCAGTATGTGTTACTACATTGCATCCCATCCCAATCCACTGATGTGACTGAGAACAGTTTATGTCCACACAGCTGCCTACCTGGAAAGATACAGCCCCAAGACTGCGCTGGAGATCCTGCAGAGGGAGGCTATCAAAAATGAAGAGGAATCTGAGGTGAGGCTTTAACAAAACTAACAGCCCAGCAGGCCCCTTTCTGATAGACCTTAACCCTACGTCGCAACATGCAAACCTGAAAAGCAGGTGACACTAATGTATGTTGTGCAGCAAAATTAATACTCAAATAGCCCACTACGTACGTAGTTTGTTCTTTTTAATTATCTACTTCAAATGAGTTTATTGTTATCAACGCACAAAAGTTGCTGGAATACCTCAGTAGGTCTGGCAGCATATATGAAGAAAAATCAGAGTTAACGTTACAGGTCTGGTGACCCTTCCTCAGAACATTTCTGAGGGTCACAAGGCCCGCAACATTAACTCTGATATTTCTTCACATATGCTGCCGGACCTACTGAGCTATTCCAGCAATTTCTGTTTTGTTTTTGATTTACAGTATTCGCAGTTCTTTCGGTTTTTATTTAGAGTTTACTGTTATGGTGCATAAAGGAATTAAAGGGTTATCAGGGATAGGTAGGAGAGTGCAGTAAAGGCACAGTCTGATAAGCCATGTTCTCATTGAAAGGCAGAGCAGATATGAGGGAATTAATAGCCTATACCTGCTCCTTATGCACATCTTCGCATATTCATAAAGACTAGAAGCCATCAGTGTTAGAAATGCAAGTTCCTTTAAAAGTAAATCAGAACAGCTTAACTTATTTAAGAGCAAGTAATGTTTATTGGACTTTATATTTGAGACCTGTTCCTTGAGGTGCAGTGGTAGCATTCCTATCCCTGGACCAGGAGGCCCAGGTTTGAGTCCCACCTGCTCCAGAGGTGTGTAACAACAGGTTGATTGGGGGAAAAAAAGTCAAATTTTAAAAAAGGCTGCTTTCTGGGGAGCTTGTGGCATGGTAGTAGTGTCCATACCTCTGAGCTAGGACGTGTAATTACAACTATAAATTGGTTGTTTAGAAAATATTTTTTAAAAAGGCTTTACCTTCCCCTGTGGCAAGTTGGCTTCTGAACAGGGCAAGGAATCAGAAGGGATAGGTGCAAACTGGTGTTTGTGCTTTACTACAGATTTACAGTGAATCTCTGAAAAGCAGTCTCTTGCTGGCTAATCTAATTTTTGGGTATCAGTGTGATAAACACAAGCCCCATATAGAGAAATAAAAGGGGTTAAATCTGACTGGCGAAAGGGATATTGAAAAGACTAGAGACATGGAATTATCTGCTGATCCTCAGCAATAATTACAAATTTAGGTTGTGTTCCCTTTGGATTGGACTGTCAGGTTAAGAGATATGAAGAAAATAAATGAAGTACACCTGAAATCAAACCCTTTAGGTTAATTGATTTGACCCAGAATGGGTCTAATTTGATGTTTACACCTCTCAATCAAATGAGGGAGCACTGTCTGTTATCTTAATATTTCTGCAGCTCTGTTACATTTGAGGTTATGGGTTCAAACCCAGTTTTGGATCTGAGCATTTAATCCTTGCTGTTTCTTCAGGGTGTTCTGCAGTGCTGGACAAGATGTTGAAATGAGGTTCTGACAGCTCATTCAGTTATATAGCAACCATTTGTGATGTCATTCACAGAACAGGAGGATATTTTCCGTTGTCCTGACCTCAAATCTATAACAGATTAAATTGTCACTTATCCCGCTCCTACTGATATTGTTATATATAGAACTTCAGAGGTTATGTCTTCATTATTTTCACACTCTCCCCCTGAAGAATAATAAGAAGTAGTGAAGAATTTGCAAGCTGATTAACAGCCTGACAGACAGGCTCAACACAGACATGAAGGCACTATCGTTTGAGGGTCGTATAAATACTTTTTTCAATGGTTATAGCAGAAGGCTTTATTTGCTCCAACATCTTATATAGTAGAGGTCTTTCTGTTGGGGAACCTGGCTGAAGGGCATTCACATATATTCTAATGGTTGTTAACATAGGTTTTGAAGCATGGCTCTGGTCTACATATGTCAGGATTGCGAAGAGTAGTATTTGAAACCTTCCTAATATTAAATTGGAGGAAATTTCTGCTCATCCAAATGTTGGATTGCAGTGTGATACTTCAGTAACAATGGAGTTATTAAGAGAGATAGTGGTGAGTCAGACCTTGGTGTTATTAGTGAGCACATGAAAACTAATCCTGGGCTCACTAATGATGGTGCCAATATTACATTTTGTAACATATTGTGATGTATATTTTGATATAACACTAAGTTTCCATGTAATTTATGGATCATTTCTCTGTTTTAATTTATTGGAGTGTGTGATGAATAATTATCAGGTTTTGGTCTACCTATGACCTCGTTATACTCTAAATTTCTTATTTTTGGTTCAGTTCCTACATTTGAAATAACGTATTGTGGATTCCTTTGTTGTCACTTCAACTCCATGCTCTTTTGTTATTAAACAAGCTGCATGGGCTTTCTGTACCTCCCAGGCACTGGCGCGCTCCTGAAGTCTTGTCATATCCATCTCCTATTCCAGATTTCCTGATGTCAGTAAGCAGCTGTAGCCAATTTTACTTTCACAAACAGTGTCTGTTTTCTCCTTGAGGCTGCCCCACTGTGTCCTAGTGGCTCTGACCCCCTTTTTGAGATTTTGATGAAACTGGACAAAGAGAAAAATCATACTAAAAGTCTTTACCAAATCTGGAAAACCAGTCTTTTGTTGGCCCATGTGCATTAAGATTTTAATAAAACAGGTAACCTCTTCTATAATGATCTGTATAAAGCTAGGCATTGTCAACTTGATGACAAATGATATAGGAATCCCAGGAGGATTCAGGACAGCTGGTTGGTGGAGGATTTGTGAGTCTCACCTGCTCTGGGTGAGAGACCATGTTGAATATTTATGTACTGAACAGTACAAAAGGAAAGACATCCGAATCCCTTTGGAAATAATTAAATGATTTGAGCGGATTTGGGAAAGCATAAGGGGTGTGGAGGTAACATTGATCCTGCCCTCACCCAACAGATACCAGTGTTACAAGTTTTGAAAAAAATTGCATCATGCCTCATGACACATTGTGCTCTCCTTATGCGGTCACGATGTCAATTCACATGGCAACTAATTTTCACGTAGTGATACCCAAACAAATGTACAGTTAATTTGTTTCATGTTGATTTTGCTTGAGGCAGAATCGTTGACAAGAGAATACCCTGGTCTCAAATTGTGGTTTAGAACATTTAACAACTACTGAACAGAGCCCTGATTTAACAATCAACCGAATATAGCAGCTTTATCAGACTTAACCCAATGTCAGACTGTTGTGGGTTCACTGCAGGTTTGAATCACTTAGCAGAACAGTTGAGCCTTCTGTGCAGTATTTATTTTCCAACAGAAACCATTAAGAAGTGATTAACTGGTCATCCCTCTCTTTATTATTTGGAATCCTACCGTATGTAAATTGGCTATTGCCTGCGTATATCACATTGGTTATAAACCATTCTGGGATGTCCTGAAGATTTGAGAGGCACTGTATCCATGTAAGTTAATTCATTCTCTGATAATACAGCACTCTGTTCTGTTTGAGATGGTTCTGTTAACTTCTTTATAGTTGTTAATCTCATGAAACTCAGTGATCACAATTTACAAGATAGTTACAGATAAGGATCTGAGGAAGGGTCACCAGACCCGAAATGTTAACTCAGTTTTCTCCTCCACAGATGCTGCCAGATCTGCTGAGCTTTTCCAGCAACATTGTTTTTGTTACAGATAAGGATAAGACTGGTCTTTGAATGAAAGTGCTAAATTGGAGGAAAGCTAAATGACAACAGTATTAGGCAGGAACTAGAGAAATTAGATCGAGGGTGGCTGTTTGAGGGTAAATCCACATCTGACATGTGGGAGTAAGGCTGGTTGATCAGAGTTCAGGACCAGCACGTTCCTGTGAGGAAGAAAGATAAAGATGACAAGATTCAGTAAGAGATAGTAGGAACTGCAGATGCTGGAGAATCCGAGACAACAAGGTGCAGAGCTGGATGAACACAGCAGGCCAAGCAGCATCATAGGAGCAAAAAGGCTGACGTTTCGAGCCTAGACCCTTCATCAGAAAAAGGTTCAGTAACCCTGGATCACAAGAGATATTGAAAGTCTAGTCAAAAGGAAAAAGGAAGCATATGTAAGGTTTAGGAAACTGATATCAGGCTAGGTCCTTGAGGAATATAAAGGCAGCAGGAAAGAGCTTAAACAAGGAATGAGGAGGGCTAAAAGGGGCCATTCAATGTCCTTGGCAAGTGAGATTAAGAAGAATCCCAAGGCATTTTATACATATATCAGGAGCAAGTAGGTAGCCAGGGAAAGGGTAAGTCCAATCAATGGCAAAGGAGGAAATTTACATGTGGAGTCAGATGAAGTTGTTGAGGTCCTTAAAGAGTACTTTGCATCGGTATTCACCAAAGAGAAGGACATGGACAATGGTAAGATTAGGGAGAGTAATGTTGATATTCTAAGGCATATTAGAATATGATGATGTTAAGGAGGAGCTGTTAGGCATCTCAAAAACCATTAAAGTAGATAGGTTCCCAGGGCCTGATGGAGATACTGAGGGAGGTAAGGGAGGAGATTGCTGGGGCTTCAACTGAGATCTTTCTATCCTCAGGCGAGGTCCTACAAGACTGAAGAATGAGCAATGTTGTTCCTTTGTTTAAGAAGGGCAACAGGGATAATCCAGGAGTATAGGCCGGTGAGCCTTACATCATAGAACACAGAACAGTACAGCACAGTATAGGCCCTTCGGCCCACGATGTGATAGAGAATATCAGTGACAGAGAAATTATTGGAGAAGATACTTAGCGACAGGATTTACTTGCATTTAGAAAATAATGAACCTATTAACAGCAGTCAGCACAGCTTTGTGTTGGGAGGTCTTGTCTCACAAATTTGATTGAGTTTTTTGAGGGAGTGTTGCTGAACAAAGAGACCTTGGAGTGCAGGTTAATAGTTCCTTGAAATTGGGGTTGCAGGTAGATAGCGTGATGAAGGAGAAGTTTGATATGCTTGCCTTTATTGGTCAGTGCATCGAGTATAGGAGTTGGGAG